CTTAGTGGAGTACGAGCAGATCGAGTTTGATTAGCTGGATATGACTGTGGTATTTCGAATAACTGGAATAATTAAGATATCCCTATAGCTGCGGTAGCTCAAATAGCTGAAGTAACTGAGATATCTTTATGACTGCGGTAGCCTCGATAGCTAGAGTAACCGAGATGTTCCTAGGGCTGCGATAGCCTAAATGGCTGGAATAGCTAAGACACTTTATGGCTGCGGTAGTCTAAATAGCTGGGATAGCTGAAATATCCCCATGGCTGCGGTAGCCTAAACAGCTGAAATACCTGAGACATCTCCATGGCTGCGGTAGCCTAAATAGCTGGAATAGCGTCTCCATGGCTGCGGTAGCCCGATTAGCTGAAGTAACTGAGACATCTCCATGGCTGCGGTAGCCCAAATAGCTGGGATAGCTGAGACTTCTCCATGGCTGCGATAGCTGAGATATCCTTGTGGCTGCGATAGCTCCAATAGCTGAAATCACTGAGATATCTCTATGGCTGCGATAGCCCAAATAGCTGGAGTAACTAAGACATCTCCATAGCTGCGGTAGCCCAAATAGCTAGGATAGCTGAGACTTCTCCATAGCTGCGATAGCTGAGATATCCTTGTGGCTGCGATAGCTCCAATAGCTGAAATCACTGAGACATCTCCATGGCTGCGATAGCCCAAATAGCTGGGATAGCTGAAATATTCCCACGGCTGCGGTAGCCCAAGTAGCTGAAATAACTGGGACATCCCTATGTCTGCGATAGTCCAAATAGCTGAAATGGTTATCGAGACAAGATATCGGACGGTTTTAATTCGTTCAAATATGCATCGTTCGATAGGTAACCCTTACCTGCAGAGGTCTAATTGGCTATGATCGACGTAGTAGATCCTTCTCTTATATGCTTATTGCAGTGATGTACCATAATGCGATATTGCCTAGGCACACGGAGATAGCAAGCTAAATTGTGATATCGTTCTCCGCCTGCTGAGTGGTAATTTAATATAAGATTGTGGAGAGCATATAACGTGGGATCTTGAAGAGCTGAGCCGTGTTCTTGATAATAATAGCCTTGTTGTCGCTTGGTTTCTCCGCAGTGTTCTCCGCATGTGCCTGCTGCAGTGGTTCCTTCGTAATGTTCTCCGCAGTGTTCTCCGTATGTGCCTGCTGTAGTGGTTCCTTCGCAATGTTCTCCGCAGTGTATTGTTCCTCCTCTTACTTAACTGAGTGCTCTGGCTAAGTAAATAACTAAGTGAATTAATAAGCTGGCTAAGTAACTTATAAGGCCTCCGAGAGGTATATATAATGACATCTAGATAGGTGGATAGATTATTTCTTTATTTTTGCTATGTTTAAATAAGTAGTTACACTAAGACCTAATCAGGTAATCGAGCTTTTAAATCAGTGATTTAAATTAGGCAGCTACTACGCGTACAGCCTCTATCTACTAGGCGTACAGCCCTTACTTAGTAAGCGTATAGCCCCTATCTACTAGGCGTATAGCCCTCCTAATCGAGTTAGCGGCCGCGCGGAAGCTAATAAATACTAATCTAAAATCGTAAAGAATTCGTATAAGTTAACGGATACTAACTAAAAATAATAAAGAACTCGTATCTAATCTCTTCGAGATTCTTATAAAGATACTTAATAGTAATAGAGTAAGCCTCTTTATCTCTCTCTATAGATTTATAATATCGAATAATTCTAATTTATTAATTAGTAAAGTCTTTATAATAGCTAATTAGCTAGCTACTCTCTCTACTTACTATTAAAAATATATCTATTATATTTAAATATTTACTATCTATTAGCTAGCTAATCTTTCTATATTTAAAATATATTAAATATAATCTTATTACTTTATATATAGATCTATATAATATTATCTCGCTATTCTTATATAATATTATCTTACTATCCTCCTCTTATAACCTATTTAATTTATTTATCTTATCGTCTTTCTTATATAATATCTAATTATCGAGATAATTACTATAGCGATTATAAACTTCTTCGCTATAATATTTATAGTATAGAGATAAATATAGAGATAGATATAGATATACGCTTTAATTCTTATTTATTAAATAAGAGATATAGATAGACGATAGAATAAAAGTTAATTTTCCTATTATATTCTATTATAAAGATATTAGATATAAGTTCTTTATTATTTTTAATTAGTATTTATTAGCTTATATAAATTCTTTATAATTTTTAATTAATATCTATTAGCTTCCGCGCGATCGCTAATTTAATTAAAGAAGCTATATATCTAGTAGATAGAGATTATATACTTATTAAATAGAGACTATACGCGTAATAATTATTTTAAATTATAAATTATTAATTTAAAAGCTTAGTTAAATTTTAGATTAAGTATTATTCTATATAATTAATTAATAGCATTATTATTCTTTTTAATTTTAAATTAGTCTTTTAAATTAGTTACTAAATCTTTCTAATTTTATTCGAATAAGCGTATAGCGCTACAGCAAGTATGCCTTTTTATAACTCTACTCTCAACTTCAATATTTGATGATAGACTACTGAAAATTCATAATGAATATATACAAATCTATGATAGTATGGCCGAGTGCACTATAAATAGAATTGCGTAATTTAATACTCGCGAGAGTCTAAAATCCTGAATGAAATTAATGGCTCGGCCTTAGATTAGAAACCCTTATATAAGATCGATATACGGCTTTTTATTTGTTCTCTTAGATCTATAAGATTTCGAGATACCTAGAGTCTTAGATGAAACTAGTAGCTTTTCTAAAGTTTTACGTAATTCGATAATTATAATATATCTAAAAGCTGGAATAAAACTAGAAAGATTTAATAACTAATTTAAAAGATTAATTTAAAATTAAAAAGAATAATAATATTACTAATTAACTATATAGAGTAATATTTAATCTAAAACTTAATCGAGCTTTTAAATTAATAATTTATAATTTAAGATAGCTACTACGCGTATAGCCTCTATTTAATAAACGTATAGTCTCTATCTACTAGATATATAATCTCTTTAATTAAATTAATAATTACGCGGAAGCTAATAAATACTAATCGAAAATCGTAAAAAACTTATATAAGTTAATAAATACTAATCGAAAATAGTAAAGAATCTATATCTAGTCTCTTCGAGATTCTTATAAAGATACTTAATAATAGTAGAATAAGCCTTTTTATCTCTTTCTATAGATTTATAATATCGAATAATTTTAATTTATTAATTAGTAAGATCTTTACGATAGCTAATTAACTAATTACTCTCTTTACTTACTATTAAAAATATATCTATTATATTTAAATATTTACTATCTATTAGCTAGCTAATCTTTCTATATTTAAAATATATTAAATATAATCTTATTACTCTATATATAGATCTATATAATATTATCTCGCTATTCTTATATAATAATTTTTTATTATTCTTCTCTTATAGTCTATCTAGTTTATTTATCTTATCGCTCTTCTTATATAATATCTAATTATAAAGATAATTACTATAGTAATTGTAAATCTTTTCGCTATAACGTTTATAGTATAAAGATAGATATAGAGGTAAATATAGATATACGCTCTAATTCTTATTTATTAAGCGAGAAATATAGGTGAGCGATAAGATAAAAATTAATTCTACTATTATATTCTACTATAAAGATATTCGATAGAGACTAGATATAAATTCTTTATTATTTTCAATTAATATTTATTAACTTATATAAGTTCTTTATAATTTTTAATTAATATTTATTAATTTCCGCGCGATCGCTAATTTAATTAGAAAGACTATATATCTAGTAAATAGAGATTATATATTTATTAAATAGAGGCTATACGCGTAATAGCTATTTTAAATTATAAATTACTAATTTAAAAGCTCGATTAAGTTTTAGATTAAGTATTATCTTATATAATTAATTAGTAATATTATTATTCTTTTTAATTTTAAATTAATCTTTTAAATTAGTTATTAAATCTTTCTAATTTTATTCGAGCTTTTAGATATATTATAATTATCGAATTATATAAAACTTTAGAAAAATTATTAGTTTTATCTAAAACTCTAGATATCTCGAAATCTTATAGATTTAAGAGAATAAATAAAAAGCCGTATATCGATCTTTGTTAGGGAATAAATCGTATATCGAATAATGATATTAATAGTGTTATATGAATAGAATATTAACTATAAAGGTTGCTAAGTAACATGTGTGCCGAAGTTATTAGAGTATCAAGCCGTCAAGGAGCTAGCCTGAATAGAGCCTAGCGTAAGTCTGGAGAAGGAATGCCGGTTGAAACCATGACATTACCCCCCCTCAAATGGCCATGTCCCTATGGTTTAAATTATGGCGACGGCGAGGTGGCAATAGCGAGACGATCGTTATAATTTATAGTGCACTGGCCTTTATAGTCTAAAGCATATTTGCTACCCCCTGAAACAACAACTTTAAACTTTTTCTCGCAAACACTCTTAGTATCCGACCGTGGCATTAAGCCAAATCTCATATAGCAGGCCTGCGGACGCAGGTAACAGGGGTATCAATGTGGGGCAATAGCCCGGGAAGGTGCTTAAAGTAATGGTGTGGGGTGCTGAGAGGTGATATAATAAAAAAATCGAAATCGAATGAGGCCAATTCGTTCAAAAACGCAAAGTCCGATGATTTGCCGAATCGAAACTAATTTGAATACGCTAGCCGCATGTGGCTAGGCGGAACGGTTATTGCTAGTCAGAGGAAGGAGAAGAAATTCATTGCTGCTACTATAGGCAAGGCCTATGCCGTCATTGCTTCTCCATAGCCTTCTCTACAGCCTTTTCCTTGGCTATAATAGCCTTTACCTCTTCAAACGACAATGCCTTTAAGGCCATGCATACCTTAGTCTAATTAGGCCGATGGCTATAGCTAAGGCATTTGAAATATCGATCTTCTTTCTTTAGCTGATTCTTTAGCTATTTCGAATAAAGTAATCGCTATAAGCCTAATTTGAACTCCTATTCATTAATCTCTTTTATATCCATATGCATAGCCTTCAATTGACGGAGGTCTTGGTTAGTCTTCCGCAAATGCTTAACAACTGAGCGGAAGGAAGACGATGAGATATCGGCGATTCGTGATCGGAGCTTGAGAGTAATGAGTCTTCGTAGTATAGCGATCTTATAACTTTCGCTATAGCCCAATGGCGTAATAGTAGCTGAAAATCGAGCATAGAACTCGTCAAATGCCTCCTTCTTTTTTATAGCAAACGCCGGGTTATAAAGTAAGGCGTTATTCTTTATCAGCTTATCGTAATCACTAAACATGCTATGAAGCTCTAAAATCATCTCTTTCGTGGTGTTGTAGGGATCCTCGCTCAGTAAATCTACTCGTGCCTTAAGCACGTCGAATACAATTAACTTGCAGTGATCCCGAATGTAGTCCATTTTATCTTTTTTACTAGAAAATAATACGATACTTTGCCGAAACTTGGAGTCCAGGTAAAATCGCCACTCGTCTTACTTCTCTTTTTCACTATAGAAGTAGGGCACATTAGGGTATTTCTTATTGTTCCCGATAACAAGGATAGTAGGGACAGGTGTTCCAGTCTTGGTAACTTTCAATTTGATTGGTTGTTCATCCACATCGGAATCCAGAGGCTCTGCTGGAGTGACCGTTTCTTCTTTGATAGTCAAGGCCTGAATTTTGGCCTACAATTCCGTGTTTGTAGCAGTGAGAGTCTTTGCATTAAAACGATGAAGGTCCCGTGACTCTCGAAGTCGTGTTACGGTTGTGTTGAGATTCTGAATAGTAGTGTTGAGGCCATGAATCTGGGCCTGGTAATGCTGAATCGTTAATGACGATTCAGGACGGGTTTCTTCTTGATCCGAGTCCATAACGGATTAGGTGGAGATCTCTCCACTGATGCAGGCAGGTAACAGGTAAGGCAAGCGAGAGATAGTCGAAATATCTCCCCGCAGAGGTAGGGTAGGCAGGCAGGCAGGGAATCGTCCGAATATCTCCTCTATAATAAGGCGATTGAGTAGTCGATATTCGAGAGATCCCCGCAGAGGCAGGGTAGGTAGGCAGGCAGGCAGGTAGGCAGGCAGGGAATCGTCCGGATATCTCCTCCACAACAAGGCGATTGAGTAGTCGATATTCGAGAGATCTCCGCAGGGCAGGGCAGGTAGGCAGGCAGGAGCAGGCAGGCAACAATAGCTTAGCTCACGGCTATGTTGGATAGTTAATATTATGTCAGGGAATGAACCGTGTATCGAATAATGATATTAGTGGTGTTATATGAATGGAATATTAACTATGAAGGTTGCTAAGTAACATGTGTGCCGAAGTTATTAGAGTGCCAAGCCGCCAAGGAGCTAGCCCGAATAGAGCCTAGCGCAAGTCTGGAGAAGGAATGCCGGTTGAAACCATGACAATCTTATATAAGGGTTTCTAATCTAAGGCCGAGCCATTAATTTCATTTAGAATTTTAGACTCTCGCGAGTATTAAATTACGCAATTCTATTTATAGTACACTCGGCTATACTATTATAGATTTATATATATTTATTATAAATTTTCAGTAGTCTATCATCAAATATTGAAGTTGAGAGTAGAGTCATAAAAAGGCATACTTGCTGTAGCGCTATACGCTTATTGACCGGAGCAAGATGTCGTTGGGAATGCCTCATCAAGCCTAGCAAAGCATTAGTGTTTCCTTCCTCCGACCTTCCCCACTGGCTCTAGCCAAGAGATCCGCACGTGCACGTGGGGTGGTTATCCTCACAACATTGGCCTACAGAGAATGAATGAGCCAGGTTTTATTTGCGTTGGAGCTCAGCAAGAGTGTCACCTTCGACCATATAACACGTGCCATCTGCCCATCTTAAATTGCGCTTGAGCATCCACAGCCAGAAAACATTGATACTACGACTTGTCAGAAGAAAGACATCTACCACCATACCTTGCGGAGAAGTCCAGTGCTGCCATAATGTCAAAAGTTGACCTGTACAGCGAATTGGGTGTAGATGGTGATTCCGAGACTCCAGGTGCTCCTGGAGCTGTGGTCGTGGCAAAAGACCCGGCCGCACCTTCGAAAGACGTTTCTTCGAAGCGGCAATCAGCATCTGACCTGTTCACCATTGTGAGTGCATTGCACTGGTAAAGCGAGAGCAGAGCTCGCTGCCTGATATCAGGGCATTTAGAACGCTGACTCAATGGGCTGTATAGTTTTGCTCCGGTTTCGCTCTCATCAGCGATGGATACCAGAATAACCTCATGTAGGAAAACCGCAAAAAAAGGGTACCATGACCACATTGCTAATCTCTATCAGGACCATGACAAATGTCGTGTTGAAAGCGGAGTACAAGAAGCAATATACCTCTGCTGTCAGCACCCGTGTATCCAATGCTCTGCTGGTAGGGGAGATTATAGGCCAACTCGTCATTGGCCTGACATGCGACTATCTAGGCCGCAAAGTCGCAATCGTAACGACGACTGCCATGATCGTCATTGGCGGAATATTAGCCACCGCTTCCCACGGCATCACTATCAATGGCATGTTTTGGATGATGACGGTATCTCGGGGAATTGTTGGATTTGGTACTGGAGGAGAGTATCCTGCTTCAAGCACCTCGGCCTCCGAGGCTGCGAATGAGTTCACGCCGAAGAAACGAGGGCCAATCTTCATCCTGGTGACGAATCTTCCGCTCTCCTTCGGTGGGCCCTTGGCCGTCAGTGTCTTCCTGATCGTTTTTTCGGCGTCAACATCCAGGCACCTTTCGACGATATGGCGAGTATGCTTCGGTATCGGCTGTCTCTTGCCCTTGACGGTATTTTACTTTAGAATCAAAATGCTGAACTCTAAGCTCTACCGCAGAGGTGCCATTAAGAGAAAGGTCCCATATCTCTTAGTATCGAGGTACTACTGGAAGTCTTTGATTGGGACGTGTGGAGCATGGTTTTTGTACGACTTTGTATGATCATCTCAGGGATAGCCTGCCGAGCAGTCACGTTGACTTGTTGCAGGTGACCTTTCCAAACGGAGTATTCTCTGGTACCATCATTTCAAGTGTGGTGAAGAATGGGAGCATTCTGAAGACAGCCGAATGGCAGCTTCTCCTTGGGAGCATAGCCTTACCCGGTGTTCTCGTGGGGGCATGGTTGTGTGACAGATTGGGCCGGAAGAACACTATGATGCTAGGCTTTAGCGGCTATCGTACGTATCTGTCAGAATCTCAGGCTTTTGCTGATGACTTGCAGTGGTCTTTGGACTGATAATCGGGTGCGCCTATGATCGAATCACCAAGATCGTACCCCTTTTCGTGATCTTTTATGGTCTCATGCTGTCTTCTGGAAACTTAGGACCTGGTGATATGTTAGGTTTGATGTCTTCCGAGAGCTATGCCACAGCAGTTCGTGGTACGTGCTATGGCATTTCAGCTGCGTTGGGAAAGACTGGCGCCGCTGTTGGCACGGAGGTTTTCACGCCCATCCAAACGAATCTTGGGAAGAAATGGACATTCATAATCGCGGCCATCTGTGGTGTTGTCGGTGTCTTAGTAACGTTCTTCTTCATCCCAAACCTCACTGGTGACGATCTTGCGGTTGAAGACGAGAAATTTAGGGCGTATCTGGTGGCTCATGGATGGGACGGTGAGATGGGCGAAGAAGACTTGAAGGCTCTGGCGGATAAGGGAATTCCACCGAGTATAATCGAAGAAGTCAAGTGAGACGTGGTCTCTGATTTCCGAGCTAGATTCCTGAGCCCAGCGCGCGGAGTGAAAGAAATTTTCATGACGTACCCCGCTTTGGCTGTGTTGATGTTTTGGCTCGCGGCCGCAACAAGTGAAGTCTACGCAACATGCCATCCTTACTTCCTACCACTCATCACCCTCGTCCTCACCAAGGTGTTTCAAGCACGTTAGATTTATTCCCGTCATCTCTGACCCTACCGTCTACAAACAATACGTACCGTCACACAATCATGGACTTCAAGACCTCGTCCACAGTGCCAGATGGAAAGAAAAGGTCCACAAGCGCAGAGGATAGCTCCAAGCTTGACCCTCTTCAACAAAGCCTACATAGAAAGCGTTTCTCTCCGGAAGAAAAGTGTTACTTGGCTCATCATGTGAACCAATGCCACGACCATCAAGACCTCCGCCAAATGTTCAACCAGCACTTTGGCACGGATCGGACCCTCGAATCCATCGAATTGTTCATTTTCAAGTGCGATGACCGTCAATTCTTCGACCTTACCGAGCAGGCGCAGGACTACAAGAGGTGGTGCACACCTCACCCGATGTCGCCTATCGTCCCTCCCTCTATGGTGCTTGGCACAGCAGAGTGGCGTACCGAATTACGTGCCTTCTTGGTCTTTCAGGCCAGCAACAATGTGACACTCACAGATTTGAAGGAAAGCTTCAGCGCCACCTTCCCCGAAGAGTCGCGAACCTCCGGGCAAATCAGTATCCAGCTAGCCCATATCAACCAGCAACAAAGGCTCGTCCGCCAGCTCGAATGGTTTGCCGCAACCTACCGCTGGCACCCCTCCTACGTGGCACCTGCTAGCGCCACCGCAGCGTTTGAGGCTGACGCCAAAGCTGCTGCTAGAGCAAGGCTCGGTCAGGACAAACAACAGGCTAAAGACTACGTTGACAATGAGGCAGCGTTGACTGCTCAGCTAGAGTCCTTGAAGTAAGTTCCCCACTTCTAAATCCCCTCTGTGTGTCATTGATCACTGCTCATTGTCCTATAGCCAGCATTCCCATTCATTGGCCATGAGCAACACGGGCAATGCCTCAGCATCTGAGGAACTTGCCATCGCTGAGTAAGTTATCACCCGTCCAACCCGGCTCGAGGATGTTTATCCATGCTCACCTTCTCAAAGTCAAAGCACCAATCAGTTCGGCGAGTCCGTCTCGGGCTTTGACTCTCCTTCGGCTACCATTATTGCAGACTTTGTCGAACCCTTTGCTGCCAATTTTTCAGGTTCAGCAATCTCAAAGATATTGCGCCAAGCGTTCACAGAGCCTGCACCAGGTCTCACATACGACGAGGCCTTGGCCATTCAGACTGGCCTTTTTGCGTAAGTCTTCCGCCTTGCTGGCTATTTCTTGCGGTTGAGAACCCCACTGACCTCACTACAGAGAGAGCGCTCGCGCAACTTCTACCGCCGCCCCAGGGTCTGGTGCCCCTGCCCAACTGCCATCAAGGAGCTCACATGCCCTCGAAATAGACCCGGGCACGCTGCAGGGCGTGCTAGGAGCTCAAGCGCGGGAAGATATGATACACGGGCAGAGGGAGGAGTGAAGAAAAAGCGGGGAAGAAACCTATGATGGGGGATGCTTCCCGGGGCTATGACAATGTTGTGGCATTGTTGAAAGGATGATGGTTCAATTGGATACACAACAGTGTATCAAGGGCTTTCACATTCACGGTTTTAGCGTCAATATCGAAGCTGCATGGTCAGCGCTTTGTTCACGATGAAGGGTATAGCACCGAATCAATGATCAGTTGCCGTGTCGCAAATTCAGCAGGCTTTCACGCTTTGAAGGGTAAAGCTTCAGTCTGATTCAACTCCTGTACTTCTTGTCCGACAGTTCATGCATTACCACGATGTCATGGACTGAGGTATAGTAGATAAAGCCTTGAAACACTAATCAGACTCGAAGTTCAGAACCCATGGTGGCTCTATACTAGAGCAATACACTATCGCGAGTCTGTACCTCAAAAGATGAAGTATTCCATGACTACAGAATCCACAGACTGACCAAGATGCCACTCACAAAGCATTTTACTTCATCAGAAAATTGGGACATCATGTCTTAGCAGGATTAGCTAAGGAATCTAGACCACTTCGAGCCTAGTCTATCCTTTAGTACCGTGATCTGTGAACAACACTCCGAGCTCAAGCTCTCGCATCATACAAATGTTCTGGGAGACCTCACTCTTTTTCTCCATGCTATGAATCTTTGCAGGCATTCAAAAACTCGTTCCGTTACCTCCTTCTGCTTCCTCACCCAGTCAACATGCCTGATCCATTCAGCACTCTTCCATCACCATTGCCTCTCATAATCCTCGAGTCGATTGAGGACCTTTCTACACTCCATCATCTACTACGAGCCTCGCCTCTCGCGAACGTCTTCTTCAGAGAATACTACTGTATGATCACCGAGACCATACTATGCAACTTTGTACCCAAATGACAAGAGCTGCTCCGTACCATAGTGGCCATTCGGTCTGGCGTGGGCACAAGAGAGATGTGTGACTCTCCTGAGGCGCTTCGCAGCTTCTTAGATTCTCGCGTATTGAATTCAAGCTCCGATTTCAAGCCATACTTCAGCGCAAGCGCCGAGCCACTTTGCAAGGCATCGCATCCTTGTCCGCAGTCCGAAGCCTTGCTAAGTCTGCCAACCATGTGCACAATCTGTCCAGATCCTTCTTTGAGGTGCATCTGGATAGGACAAACAAGTTTTATGCCATCTTACCTTCTTGATCAAGATTACTACCACGGTCGAAAGTCCAAACTTCACCCTCCCGAAGGTCGTCGTTATAAGCCGAGAAAATGTGGGGATCCGTCCTGGATCGAAGAGCAGCGGGATCATCGAGCCTTGTGGCGTCTGTTACTGTACTTCGATCTTGTATGGATCTCCAAGCCAAGCCATGGAGATGCCAACAAAGTGTGGAAACTACTCACGAGCGAAGGACCACATGGTGCCTGGTTTCGACTACCAAAATGGGAACTCGACGAGATGGACTGTGTTTATGAGTTTCTCCCCGAATCCTCGGGTGTGAAGATTCCATCATCAGGCCAATCGTCGCATCAGTCACAACTTCCTGCGACTGAACCCGATTCTATTACTGTGCCCCAACCCATTCCCATATATAATGATACTCTCCACAAGTGGCAACAAGATACACTAATTCTGAACCAAATGAATGCCGTCGCCAACTATTTTGAAATCCTTCAGATAATCTGGCACTCGCCCCTCTACCGTTCCAGCATCAAGCCGTTTCAGCATTTAAGGTTCGTTATCTGGGACTTTGAGAAGATGGTTAGACTTGGATTGGCTAATCTGTCACCCGTCCATCAGCCGCCTTGGAAGTCAGTGATATACTGGGTAAGGCCCTTCAAGCGAAAAACGTGTGGATATGACATGTGGTTCAGGTGGAGAAGTCTCGTAAGCGAAGATTTCAATGGTCATGACGCCCAGTAAGGGGTTCCAGTAATCAAGACATTCCTTGATGTTCTATAAATCTCACTTAGGAATGGCAAAGTAGCAATATGGCTAATGCTTTGGGTGTAAAGGATTTTGGATATCCAAGCTCGTGGTACATCAAGCGAATTGGCTTTGGCAGTAAGGGAACAGCATGCACAGTATCTCATCTATCATACATTTGCAGCAACGCAAGCTTCTCATTTTCAGGAAGCGCCGGAGTCCCGGTATTACCAACAGAACCCGGGGAGCAGTGCCAGCCATCGAGTAGTCAACCAGTCAGCTTGCAGTCGGAGTATTTCCGTCTCCTGTCAGAGTCCACAGCATGTGGTAGTTGTCACCTTCATCTGTAGTGAAGATATTGACGGCCTCGATCGACTTGGTACCCAACTCATTAGGATGTGAGACCAGGAGATCCACGATAGAAACTCCGTGGATAGTACCTAAGAGTGCCTGGAATTGTGTGTCGGTCGTGACGAATTTGAGTCCGGGCCAATTCTCGTTGAACTCGTCCTCTCCTTTGGCCGCTGCTTGATCGATAATGGATCTAGTATTCTCCATGATGATCTCATGCCGGAAGATGTATTTCAACTCGCTGACTGCCAACGGTGTTGCCTCCGCCTTTGCTACAGTCGCCCATTGTATCCAAACTACGTCAGACATCCGCGACACCTTCGGAAGCCTCTGTTTCCAGTCTGCTGGAACACTTTCTTGTTCGTTGATCATGGCGGCGGGACTGTGACTGACATTTGCAACAATCGTCTTGCCCTTGACGTTGACGTGAACACTGAACCTGGCACTAGTTGGGGGCTACTCCGTCGACGAGTCAGCTATTGTAAAAAAATCTTGAGAAACTAGAGCTAGGCCAGATCTTCGAATCCGGGGTCACAAAAAAGCAAAAGAAACTTACTAGACCAGTATGCCAGCAGTTTTTGAATTTCTGGTTTTGCAGAGATACTCTGTAGTGGTTCGCGCTACCTTGAGGAATATCCAGCTCATCGAATGCATCAACGAAGTCAGGTGGCGCTTGTCCGTTTGGCTCTTCATTGACACTCCAGCCATTGCCAGTACCCTCAGGGATGTCTGTGGGACTCTAGAAGATGTCAAAGTCAGCGTGTATTCTTCTAACACAGTTCTTGCGCTGTGACATCAAGAGAGAGAGAGGAAGAACAACCCATTGGAGCTGAGTGTTCCCAAGACTCAAGTTGCAAATCTAGATGACTAGAGAGCATCTCTGTGGAAGCATTTGAAAGAATGCACGTACCTCCAGATCACTCAACAATAGGTATTGAGATTCCGTTCGGGTTCCGCCGAGCCTGCCAAGCTGAATTCCGCCATTAGCTACGGCTTCGTCCCTAATGTGGAATATAGATCAGCTGCTCTGTCCCTTGCCAAAACGGATTTGAGGTCAGAAAGATAGATATGTGTAATGGAAAGACCAGAAAATTATGAAGAGCATGTAAAATTGGAAGGATGTTACCAGGTAAGAGTCACGTCTCTTTTGACACGATGAGGAGGAGGGAACATGATGCTAAGGCAACGAAGATTGAGAGTCTTAGGGGCAGCATCTTAGTTTGGACGATGTCTGCGGAGTGGAGAATCAGTGCAGCTCAGAGGATGTATATTTATATTAGTCGACGGGAAAGAAGCCAAGTACTAAAGGTGAAGAGTGGGTGGGCTTTCCCAGTCACTCCTTCAATTTCCCGCCGTAAGTTGTCAACACCTGCGGGGTAGTCGACTTTCAGATCACGCTCCACCCACAGACCATGCCCGAGGCTTCACTTTCTGAATCTTCAAATTGTTTGAGCTTGATCCGAGCACATCGCCCGTCATTGCCAGGGGCACGATGGGGGCAAGACTCGGTTGGTTGTGCCACTCAACGCCAATCAGAATCATCGAAGGACTCTCGTGATCATCAAGGCCCATCGAAGCCAGGTATCCTCAAGAAGCTCCACGAGAAGCTAATGCAGACTCCCGTTGAAGTGAAAACGGAGCCTCCAGGACCGTGGCAGCTTCATTCCCGCAACCTCATTTCTACCAAGTGTCAGATTCCGAGCGCATCCCTGGTTTTAAGGTCGTCAGGGGAGGGTCGGGTGGAAGTCTCATCTTTCCGTTGGACAACAGCAGTAAGACTCATCGGAGCTTTCTTGTCTACCCGGAACGTGACCAATCCAGTAGTCCCCAAATGGCGCCATGAGGAGCTAATGCAGGGTCCCGTGGAGAGTGAGATTGAAACACTCTGGAACTCGGAACTCTCAGCCCTCCTCCACGGACGGCTGCATCCACAACCCCACATCTTCTGGGTATCCTGCACACCACCGTCTACCGCTTCTGAGCGCTGTGTCTAGGAGATGTAATTTTTTGGCGCTGCTGCGCCACCTTCACGCCTATCAACATTCTCCGTGCCGTATCTGCCTTGTCCGGTGATACTTTCTTCTCCAACATCCATAGAGTCCACCACCTCTTCAAAAGCCCTCAAATCCCCTTCAAATTAGCTTCGGCTCTCTCCCCACTACTCCCAACTCTTTCAAAAAAGAATATGCGGTTGCCGCTGAAAGATCAGCACTATCTTCATGCTTTTGCCATCGCCTTACTTTTGCCGAGAATCAGTGTCTGAATATCGGCCTCCTCTGCAGTAGCGCGTTTGTGCTCCAAAAGGCTGATTCGGCTGTTGACGACCGCATTCACATTCAACCTCTGCACACCCCCCTTCACCTTTGCGGCACTTTGGGGGCTGTGTGATGAATGATGCCCGAATATGTAAAGATAAGCGCAACAAGAGGCATTTTCCTTGATTCAGGCATGCCTCAATTTCAACAGTGAAAGGCTGGACCTAGACGTACACCCCTTTCTGCAACATGTACGCAAGGGCGTAGATGTAGCAAAAAGGGATGCGCGTCTAGCTCTTACCCTATAGATATCGCGAGATACGCAATTTCTTGCAATTCATGATTTAGTACGCGCAGAATGATACATGCCGCTTCACGCTCGTCGAGATGAGAGTGATGAAAAGTGAGCTCGCTTCTTTTTTTTGGGATGAACTTGCTTGAATGTGAATGAGTTGAAGTGAAACGGCCTTTTCGTCCACAGACCTGGAGATTGAAGTTTTCTGCATTCGTTCTCCAAATCTCACCCAGCTGACACTTTACATCTACTTCATACACACACCTTACAGTGACATATAAGGTCCTTCACTTGGCCACTACTATCCTCGCCACAGTGATGCTCAGCGAATTCAGTTGATTCACAACATTGGCCTGCAGGTGAGACAAGTGTCACTACTCGACTGAGAATCTGCCTTGAACACAGACTCATGGTGTCACTTGTTGCAGCCTTCCTACAACACCAGCGATCCAATCGGGTCTAGCGTGGCTTGACGGTACCTATATAAACGGTCTTAACTGTTATTATTCTGTTCTGTAACATCAGCTATGAGCACCTACTCAGTGCATAACGTACCGTTCTTACCACGTATGTGTTTCACTGCTCAGAGATGTTTATCTCACCGTCTGTCGCACTAGGGTCTTGATGAGTATACTTCCAAAACCGATCTCGCTGACATAAACCACAATATCGGAAAAAAGCTCATTTAGTCTACATCTGTTTTACTACATGTGTTGAAACCGCAATATCAACACTCTTTGCACATAATAACTTTCTCAGAAGTCATGTTACACATACACATATACACTCGAACGAGCAAACCTTTCAATGCACTCAGCTGATACTCCTCCGTGACCCTGATATGAACGATGCTTGTCGGTTCAAAGAGTTTCGCAATGACGCACATGAGTGTGATTGGGCCACAATTCGCCATGCGTCACGATTTCACCTTACTTGCAGACTTAGAGTAGCCAAGGCATGTCGGCCTTCTACCCTACTGTGAAAACCTATACTTACAATTGTTCTTTATGTACAGTATTCTCTTTATACTACCAATAAAGAGTTATTACACACATCATTGAGTCCCTAACACATTGTCTGGGGAACGGAACTACACCAAGAGCACGAGCAGCGCCTAAGTGGCCCGCCAAACACCGTGCCTACCTAGTCGGGCCCACACATTCCAGTCATGCGGAAAGCGTCTTCATGACCCATTACATCAACTTCACGAGCACCGCCCGACCAAGACACAAGCTGCTGAGTATTACCGCACGTATGCCACGCTCGATTTGAGAAAACCACTTCGTGTACGCACTGGAAATGGTTCCTGGCAGCCTCTTTCACCACACGTGGGCTAATCTGCTGCGAATTAGAGTTCTCGCAACTACCCAATGGTCCGACCAAAAGCGTGAATATCTGGCAGTTGGCGATGCCAAGAAGCCCAGCAAAGCTCAGACGGCGAGTCCAGCAGCCGAGATCGACAAGCAATTAGAAGTCGACTATAGCGCAGGCAAGATCGAGAAGGTTTGCCAAGATATCAATGAGGATCCGGAACTGCGATCCCCGCTCCAACGACTTGCACTTGTCTTTGCCTCTTGGTACACCGATAATCTGGAGCTAGCGTATAAGCAAGAGGCGGAAGAAGCCAAGGACGCAAAAACTAAAATGGCTAAGGCCAGGAAGAAGGTGGACGCGACAAAGAAAGAGGTGATAGCTTGTGAAGTGATTCGTTGGTCGAGTCTGTTGTCATTCAGGAGAACCAGTCAGCGATGAGTTTGTAACGAGAGCTCAATGACTCGGACATTGGGATGGGATGGGATGAGATTATGCAGATAGAAACTGAATCACTTGGTACATAGCAACAAAGAAAGGGTCAACAAGCAATCCATATCTTACTCCAGACTTATAAGCTCCACTACATCCTCTAAATTTCACCTTCAGTATTCCAGCTGCTTCTAGCTTTTCCATGGTAGTGCTAGCAAGCCGGGGATCAAGACATGATAGAACAATGAAGAGCCGTGAACGACTGAGAAAGCGATGATTAGATTTTTTGACGTACAGGCATCAAGCCCTTTGAGACTAGGTACACTTCGCTGACCAACACTTCGCTAACCATCACTCTACCAATAAAACAGCTAACATCAATCCAAAGCAAGAGTACTCTCTACGCCCGCTTCTTCACCACAAATGGCAATTAGATTGTCAGCTAAACCTCACGTGTAGAAGCGTGCGTTTGACACTTGTTTTTGCCCTCAAGAAACTAGGCAGATGGGTGTTTCTGCAGTGTCTACGATCGTGACTCCAGTTTCCAAACAGGAAACCACGCGAGCAGGACGGAAAAACAAAGAAGCTCGAACCAATGCGAGCCTAATGATCGCTCGGTCTTTTGGAAGACGTTTGAATTTTTGATATCATCCAAAACCCCCACTCAACTTCAATTTCCAAGGGAGCACCACTACAACATCAGCACGTGCAACAAAGCAAAACGGCACCGCATAGAACAGTGCGAAGACACCGAAGAGCTCGAACTCGGGCGGCCAAACCCTCTGCATCGGACACACACCCGAGTCGCACCGATAGAATCAGGTGGCGAAAACGTGCAAAACCCCACGCGAAACAAAGTTCCACCACGTCATCAAAGGCGTCGACTCGACCCGAGACTGTTGCGGACCTGCAGACGGATACACACCGAGACGGCACTGCTGCCGTACCGGCTCAACGGGTTTGCTTTTCAGGACGATTCGGTGCGGAGGCCCATTCGAGAAGGGTGCGAGGGCGGGGAAGGAGCGGGCGGTGGGGGAGTGTGGGATTTCGGACCGGGGGGAGGGGGTTTGAAGCTGGGGAGCGGCGGAGGGTGAGGGGTTGAGTGGGGTCGAGTTTGTAAAGCATGCAGCTTGTGGGGGGGGAGAGGTATGTTTGTCAAGATTTTCGAGTGCAAGTTTCCACCTGGATATGAGACGGTATGAGTGTGTTCAAAGGTAGGAGAAGTCGTTAATGTAATTGAGTCGAACATGGCAGAGATACCAGCAACGTGAGCAGAGATGCATGTATCTGCTCTGCCGTCATGGAATGCGGTAGTTTGGAAATCGTCCCCGTAAGAGGCATCTGCGCTTCCCCTCTCTACCCATGCGTTTGACACGGTGAGCTCAAAGTCAAGGCGGTGTTCTCTGAAATGCACAACTTGAAGGGACGACATGATAGTTCCAGCTGAGGCGTTGTGTAGTTCGAACGTTCATACGTGCTGGTGGGTGCGATTCCGGTGAACGTAATAATCCGGTGCTTCAAGCCCGACTCTTCATCTGCTCTGGAGGGCGGATCTTTGGAAGAGAAGTCGATTCCCAATGCTCCGGGTACAGCAAGTCATGTACAATTCTCAACATGAATGTCTGGAATACACATTCGAATCGACCCTATTGTAAGGGTAGTAAAACGCTACAAAGCTGTGTTGAGCTCGGTATGGGCACCCAGGTATATAGCCCAAAGACATTCTGGTATGGTAAGATGCCATTCATATGACGCCTCGCAATGCCACCAACCTTCTCTCAATAATTCTCACTCAATCCCTGCCCCGCAAAATCCGGCACCGCACTCGTACAATTGAAATTTCTGTTCCACGTCTTAGATGGCAGAATGCCATTCGCCATGCCCGCCTTCCAATCCCACTGCGTTGCTGATTCTGTCGTCCACGTCCAATAAAACCACCCCCAGGCACTTTCAAAACTTGACATCTGCGCCTCCGCGTTCATCATGAGCCAGGATTTGTAAGTGTTGGAGTAGGAAGATGGGTTAGCGTTGGCGGAGGAGCAGGAGCAGGAGGAGGATTTGGAGGGGCAGTCGGGCGAGAGGACGGCGACGGTGCGGTCGGTAGATTGCAGGGTTCCTTCCCAGCGAGTGCCGGCGTTGACGTCATTAAGATAGGTGGTGCAGTCGGTGTCGGCTTGGGACCATTCGCCGCAAAGGGTGGGTCCGTAGCTGTAAGGACAATGAGCAAACACCTTTCGTATCCTGTGTGCCAAATGTACTATGGAGAACTTACCCAGTAGTGGTATCCTCGCTCAATTTCATCTGGCCCGTCCACCCAGTACAAGCATACTGCACCTTCGCCGTATGATTCAAAGCGATCAGACCAGCGTCAAAGATTGTGTACTCATGTGCGTCCAGAACCAATCCGCTGATCCCCTGCAGCTGTCCTTGCCATTTCTCGATTCCTAGAAACCCGTCGCCAAAAGCAACTGTCTGGTTCATGCCACTCTTGCGGACGATCTGCGCAGCGCTCGCTGTCCAGTCGACCACTGCCGACTGAGAGAGGGCAGTCATCTTCGGCTCATTGACGAGGCCATAGATAGTAATGACGTTCTGGTACCGCGGCTGGGCGAAGAAAGTCGATAGCTGCGTATGAAGATCAAGCGAGCGTTGCGCATTCAGCGCACCATCGGTGCCGTTCAACCATCCAATTGGACCCTGACGGCCGCTGTGATTCCAACCGTTCTGACTGCCCGGAAGAGCGTGCAAGTCCAGATTGACTCTCAACCCGTACTGCCTCGCGTACTCGATGCCTCTGAGTAGATACCGCCAGCTTATCTTGGGAACATATGGATCCCCTGGATATGTCGTGACTGCCCAGTAAGAGTATGGAATCCTCACATGATCGAACCCTGCCGCCTGGATGCTCGCGAAATCATCCTCAGTGATGAACTGCGAGTAATGCTTCTCAATCACCTGCGCGGCTTTGGTCGGTCCAAGTATGTTCGACAAAGTATACTCGTCAACGATATTCTGATTCGACTGGTACGTATTGAACAGACTTGGAGTGATAAATGGCTCAATAGATAGCCAGCCTCCAAGATTCACACCTCGAATGGGCATTGTTCCATAGGCCCACACTTGGTTCAGCGCTGGCACGAACTGATTGGCTTGCGTCGTATCATTCCACGTCGAGTTGAGCCCCATGATTGACAAGCCTCCAACCGTGTCATTCGTATATGTGACATTGAAGTTCGTCGTATCATACCACGTAAATGGGTCCAGAATTGTGTTCTTTGCCGCTGTTGGTATATCGTTCTCACTGACTCCATTCAAGTTGCTGTTGCTGGGATCACTCCCACTGGTCGAAGAACCACTCCCACCACTTGGTGCAGACTTCTTCTTGCTCACCACAATGGCGACGGGTATCAAAATGATAAGCAAAAGGACTACGACTCCAAAAGCAATCCAGCATCTCTTTCCAAATCTTCTTTTCCCTTTCCTCTCATCTGCGCTCACAAACCCTCCTCTTGCCCGCTTAGATCTTCCCTCTTCAAGCAGCGGTCCACTGACCACCCGTCTCCGTTCCACCTTCCCATATGTGCCATCAGATCTCCGCCTGTGCTTAACTTTCTCTTTGGCAACTCGTCCTGTTACTACCTTCTCTTTGACCGTCTTCTTCTCGCTCCATACTCTGTCTCTCTTTTCTCTTTCCTTGACCTGACCTCCAGTCTTCTCGTTAAGGGCATCCAACTTCGCAAGTGAATCAATCGAAAGAGGATTGGAGCTCCGTGCTGTGGTGTCAGATTCGTAACTCTTATGCTTCTCCTCCACCACAAACTTCTTGGACTTTCGCTCAGGACTTCTCCTCCTAGTCTGCGCGGTCCGTGCTGGGCTTTTCTCCCTCCTCTTCTGCGGCGTTCTAGGTTCCAGCTCGCTCTCGCTCTCCGACTCGTTTTCTTCTTCTACAACAATCCTCCTACTTCTACGGTCTGGGCTCCTCGTCCGTTTCTGTGGGGTGCGCTCTCGCCTTGGAGAGCGCTCCGGGCTCTGTGTTCTTCGCTTTGGCGTTCGCGAATTCTCAGGCGTTCCATGTTCTTTTCTTTCTTCTCTTTCAGCAGCGTGCCGTGTGCGACCATTAGAAGGCCTAGTGGGGCGGGTTTGGACGTTGCGGTGGGAGGGAGAGGGCATTTCGAGGTGTCACAATACGTAGATTAGTGGAAGTTGAGAAGATAATGAAAGATGAAGATCAGCACGAGCTTTACGCGACCCTTACTTAGGTTTCAATGGCATTGTCTCCATTGTGCGGTAAGAAAGGATCACGTTGCCAAGAATTTGACGTCGACGCTGCAGTACCGAGGTCTACAAATAGAGACTAATGGTCGCTCGGGTAACGGTATTCAGCCCTACAAAAAGCCAGGAAAAGGGGTGTCAAACCGATGAGATTAGCCTCTTGGAGAAACGTTTCCAACAAAGTAGGACATGGACGCGATAAATAGCCTCGTGTTATCCAGCCTCAACAGTGTTCTATCAATGCGATTGTCGGATATCATAGCAAAGCCTGAAACATCCTAGTATTGATTAAGAATCGCAGAAGACATTACATGTGCCATATCCATCGCAAGGCGCTCTATGTCGTGACTTTCGTATTTAAAGAAACCAGCATATCATTTACCATCTCCTTCCGAAGACAGAGTCCTCCTTCCGGCCGTTCCCTCTATGCTCCATGACTGGCGGTGTGACTCTCGTACCCTGTCCCCCTTTCTCATTGACTGGGCCAGAGCCACTACCTCCCGCGGCTGCAAGGATTCTCGTCTTCGCTCCCAAGCTCGCATCCACTTCGTGCCTTCCATCATGCTCCGCATCTCTCCTGAATAGATTTAAGATGTCCTTCATGCTTAGCTTGCCGACCGCTTTCCCGTCGCCTCCGATTGCTGCATTGGCTAGAACCCGCTTTTTCTCCTGCAATTCAAGGATACGCGCTTCGACTGTGTTGGCAATCGTGAGCTTATAGACCGTAACATCTAGTGTCTGATTGAGGCGATGAACCCGATCGATAGCTTGCTCTTCCACTGCGCCGGTTTCAACATTAGCGACACTGGTTCGAGAATCCTACTCATAAAACAAGTCTGGTGTATGGGTTCGAGGGAGGAGTGGGGGATGGAAGGGCGTTCGCTCTCAAAGATGCCTTCTAGCTCAAAAGCTGCTCCAAAAGTCGGGCAATGACCCTGAGATGTACGTACCAAATGGGTTCCAAAATGGTTCTAAGATGACAACTCTCGAGGCGGCAGTGAGATTCAAGCCCAGTGATCCGCACTTAAGACTACAAAGTAGAACACGGCACTTGCTATTGTTCCGCAGCCGCTCAAGGCTCGCTTCACGGTGATCATTACGCATGCTGCCATCGTAGCGGGTGAAGACCAGATTGTCTCGCTGAAGGAAGGGCTCAATGAGGTCGAGCATGGAGGTGAATTGGGAGAAAACAATAAATTTATGGGTGGCGGATTCGCGGTGGAGGATTTTGAGAAGGTGCTGGATTTTCGCGGATGTTGTAATGGAGGCAAGCGAGGGTTCGGATACTGAGGAGAGCTCCTCTTCGGAATCTTGTCCCTCGTTTGACGAATCCTCCGAAGAATCGTCGTCATCTTCGTCTGTAGTATCAAGGCTGATTACTTTGGGTTGCTTGGACCTCGACACTTTGACCTGAGAATCGTCTTCTGTTTCCGTGTCATATGAAGCCAACGATTCGCCGCCGCCTTCCGCATTTTCATCGTCACTACCACCAGCTTTGCCGAGACTTACCGCGAGGCGTTGGCCTTCAGGCACAAGCCAGTCGGCGTTTTCATCCTCATCAGAGTCGTCGAGTATAACATTCCGCTTCCTGGGGAGTCTGGGCTTTGGTTCCTCTGATTTGACCTTGGCCTTTGAACGGTGTTTCTTGTGTTTTGTGTTTTTGCGTTGACCTTGTTGCGCAGTCAGATCTTCCTCGCACTCGGCACATCGTATGGAGCCCGCAGATACTTCATCCTTGCTAAGTTCGATCTGACAGACATCGCACTGCTTTGTCTTCACGCTTAAGCCACCAAGAAGGTCCGCCATTTCATCGACGTCGTCTTCTGCTACCTTTGATTTCCGAGGCGTCTGGCTGCCTAAGCCCTGACCCGTAGTCAGAGCATCTTTATCCTTAGCCATACTGCCTCCTACAAGCTGAGGATGGTTGCAGGCCTGACGAAGTCGCAATAGAAGAACCAACGCGCTAGCGTAATTAATTTTTTCACCGCCCATCATTTGCTCCAAGCTCTTATCGGTGCGTTGCTCGAGGCGATCATAGAATCTCCGTTCTTCGGGGCTGAAGTCCGCAAGCACGCTCTCGACTCTTCGTGCTGTGATCTTAAAACCGTTGCTGGTGCCATCTTTGCTTGGCTTGCCACCAGGGTTTAGTGCGCCTTCCTGCTTCAGGACATCTTTCGTACGTCGTTTCATGAAAGCTTTGAGGTAGAACTGCAGTCGCTTCATAGCGACTCCGCCACGCCCTTGGCTCATTGGCCGGGTAATTTGGTCTTTCCATATCGAAAGGTCATTGTAGGGCTTGATCCTCAAGAACCTGATCAAACTTTGCAACTCATCAAGATTGTTCTGCATGGGCGTGCCGGTCAAACACCACCTGTATTCGGCTCTGAGAGCGTAACATGCCTGGGTTGCTTTAGCATTTCGGTTTTTGATGGTGTGTGCCTCGTCGAGTATGACACGGTACCAATGGATTCCAAAACAACCAGCCTGGGGTCCATCCTCGCGCTCTGAAGAGCTGCCATGTTCTGATACTAGAACCTGATAGGTCGTGATGACGACATCGTATTTCTTGAGGTCTTCGAATCGCTTAGTGCGCTGTGGGCCGTGATGAACGCACACACGCAGCTTGTGACTGTCCAGTACACGATTCTTGATCTCGGCTTCCCACTGCTTGATGAGTGCAAGAGGCGCCACTACAAGGGTGCTTTTCCCGACATTCACGGCTAGCGCTTTTTTGTCGGTCACAGAGGTGGTAGATGAATGAGATGGTCGAGGGTTGGTGAGTAGCAACGCGATAGACTGGATGGTCTTTCCAAGCCCCATGTCATCGGCGAGGATCCCGCCTTTGGGCAAGACGCCGTTCTTCTTCTTGATTCCTGTCTCCTTGTCCCTCATCCAAGCAACACCGTCTACCTGATGAGGCAAGAGCTTCACTTTTAGGCCATCCACAGTACCATCGTCTTCTTCCTCTTCCTCATCCTCATCTTCCTCGTGGTTCTCTTTGTCTTCCTCGGCTTTCACATCCAGTCCTTGCAGCTTGTCTGTCAATCCTGCCATTGCAGCATCAACCTTTTTCTTCCGGCCGCGCGTCCGTGGTTTGTCATCTTCATCCTCAAAAGCGCCTTCAAGAAGCGCTTTAATATTCTCCGTAGCCTTTCCGGCGTCAACGTACAAGAAGGGGTCTGCTGCGCCGAAACGATCGTTGAGAAGTGCAGGATCAGAGTGAGATGGTATTTGGGATTTTGTGAGGTCAACTATCGGCCGTTGGTAGCTGTTGACTGATGAGAACCCGCTTGTAGGAGGATTGTAAGATGAGTAGGTAGGTGCGGGCCGAGTGTAGTTGTTCCACGCTGGAGGAGCTGCCGGCCGTGGAATCTCCACAACGCCTGGACTCGACTGGATGAGTATTGGATGCGATACCTGTCCAGAGTGGAATGGATCCACAACCTTGCGCGCAATATTCTTCACTTGCTGCAGATGTGACGCATCAGCTGAAGGCGCGGGCCGATGATGTTCTGGTCGCGGTTGGTGAGGTTGCGGCATGTTGAAAACATTGGGGGCCTGCGCTCGGTTTCCAAGAGGGCTCGGCTTACCAAATTCGGGCTGGTTGATGGCTGGGAAGGCTGGCTGTGGAAACTTTTGAGGAGTCGCCTTGGGTGGTTCTCGTTCCACCACCATGTTGGAAGGAGGAGGTGAATCGAAGATGAATGGTTGTTGGTTTGAAGGTCCAAGTCCACCAAATCGGAGGTCGTGGTGCTCTTTCTTCACCTGGGTTGCTAGGGAAGCTGGACTGTTGTCGGAGAAGAGCGAGCTAGAATCTCCGAGGGCCGACAAGCAATCCCGGCCGCATCCAACGAAGTTAAAGTCTAGTGAATGTCGCGCCTTCTCAGCACTCAAGTGCGTAGGCAGACAAGGGCTCAAACGACCTCCCTCGTGGCGCAGTAGCTCTTCTTCCTCACTGTCTGTTGGACTTGGTACCCGGAATGTTCGACCAGTATTCTTTTGCGGCAGCACTTGAGGCTCGAAGGTAAAGTCTGGAATCTGTGTCGAGACCAATGTGTTTCTTCCTCGTAGTCCCACCTGCCCAGGCAGACGCCCTGCGTGTAACTGCCGCTTGCTGGAGCCCATAGTCAGTAAATGAGTGATATGAGGAGAATTCAGGGATTGTTACCGGGAAGCTATATTCAAAGACCGCTTCTGTGCGTATTTTAGCGACCGTTAGTTAATAAAGCGGTTCAACATTTGACACGAGGTCGAGATCCAAGGATCGGGTAAACATCGGCAACTACCAGGAGCAACGAAAGCCGGGTCGCATCAGTGAAACGAACTTGAGAATGGTTGTCAATGTGGAATGAACCTAGTTGTTATTACTCTAGTAGTCGTGTAGAGTGGATACAGGCTGCCATCCGAGTACCAGATAGCTTCACACAAGGAGAGAAGACTCATTTGCCTGTATGAAGAGTACGTAGTCCAGGATTCTATGCTGTCCTCGCATCAGTATCCAAATCACAACGGCAACCGCCGTCTTCATCGATCCCAACTGTATTTCCGCTTGCTAAATACATTCAACATCTGCGATAGCGCTTTTCCAACAGGCTCGTGTCGAACGCTTCAATTTCCATGCCCATTAGTCCATTTCAACCAGGTAGCTTTTCCTCCGTTAGATGCCAGACACTGAAAATCTATATCATTATTCTGTTCTCAGAGGAGCAGAAATCTCGAACTCACATTCTTGGAGCCTCCCGTGTCCTTGATTGATGAGCCTCTGGCAGTATGTGCCTGGACAAATCGACCGTTGGGCTGCTGTGTCTTGTCAGTCGAAAATCATTTGACAACGCGATCGCACCCAGCGCTTACCATTGGCTTCGAATCCGTGCACGCAATCAGCTGGCCAAGCTTCAATTCCCGAAGCCTATGCATGCGCGTCGACCTCACCTTCATCTGCACCTCCGCAAGTTGCTCCACCGCCACAAAGAGCTCTAGTTCGTCTTTTGTAGAGACAAGGCTTTCGAGATATCACATCATCATCGAGCGATATTTCCTCGTCTTTGATAGCAGTGGGCGAGCTAATGTACATCTCCGCTTACTCTGGAACCTTCTCTTTCACTTCTGCAAGACGCTCGAGATCTTCGATTGACCTAGTTCCAAAGACCTTCACGTTAGATTTGGCGAGAAGATCGAGCGTTTTGACGATGGCGGGCCCGATACTTGGAGTGACATGACCGGTCTGGAATAACATGCCTCGTGGCTCGACTAGAAGGCTCACTTCAATCAGAGTCCGTGCCGAAGACGGCATTCTGGTCTGCGTGGACGGGGGTCATGTTCACAGCTGATCCAGAGCCGCAGGGCCAGCATCATGTCTCTTAAGCAGAGGTAGCGTTTTGCCGACGATAGTGCCCATGTGCAGGGAGCTCACCGCATCAGAGTGTGGTTTGGAGTACCATGCTCAGTAGGTGCAAGAACGTCACCGTATCAAAATGGAGTCTCAGAAACCAGATTGCGTGCGTCCACGTAGTTACCGTGATTGGGCTGGTACACTTGAGAGTTTGTGGCGAGATGGTGGGATGTGCAAATGTCCCGCTCGTGGTCATCCGGCGATTTTGGCCACTCCTTTGCCACATCAGGAGGCGGCATTCTTCATACTGAGAGGTCTTGGTTAAAGATTATTGGCACAGTGGATTGGTAACCTGTCACTTTTTCCGTTACTAGGTTACTCTATGCTAGATATCCACTCCACGGCTCCTCTTTCCTCCAGCAATGTTGGTTTGAAATACAACGCTCGCTCTCTTATGTGCTGTGGAAGCTTATTCTGTAGAAGAGGCGCATTCAATATGTTCAAATAACGCTCCTCGGCTGCGAGAGTGATCAGTCAACAGCAATGACACAACAGGTGAATGCTGATGAACGTACTTGTTAACTTTCCCGAATATCCCTTCTCTAGCTGGAAGTACAGCTCTAGATCCTCCGCGTTGGACCAGAGTGCGCTCGACTCAACATGACCATTGACTTGCCGGGCCCTCCTTTTGGCATGTACCTCGTCCTCTCTGATTTGCTTGAGGGTTCGTTTCTCATTTCGACGTCTCTCATCCTCTTGTTCTCTGGATTCCCTGATCCTTCTGTGTAAAATCTCGTTCCTTCTCGCAGCTTCCTGCTTAACTTGCTGGGCTAGCTGGACGAGCTCATTTTGTTTCTTCCTAGAGTCTACGTCATTTTGCTTCAATTTTCTTTTCCTCTCCTGTTCAGATAGCTTTTGGGCGAAAGCTTCCCGTATGACCCTGAGGTATGGGTAAATCTTCTGAGTAATGGGCTTTATGATTGGTCGGCTGGTCGGTACGGGCTTACTCTTCCAACGTTTAGCCCTCTCACAGAGAAGAACTGTCATGTACTGTAGGCGAACGATCTCTTTAAGGCCTCTGACGTTGCCATTGAGGGTTTCGAGATCGCAAGGCTCATCCGAGTGGTATATTCGGGATGTCAGAGCCGACTGCAGGAGAAAGACCATGGCTGGGATAGCGCGAGCATATATGTCCCTGATCATCTCCGGGCCTTTGGTAGCAGCGTTCTTTTCTGACAGACTCCTGATGCGATTTTCGATGGCATCCAGACGCTCTCGCAACTGGAGATGTATACCATCCAGTGGACCATGATCAATTTCTCTGAAGGGCAGCAGTTGTTCGTATAAGCCTCTCGCTTCTCTCACGTCATTGACCAAGGCTTTGACAGTATCGGTTAGGAGTTTCGGCATACGATTGAGTAACAGCTTCGCTCCGCATACCGAGCCTGCGCCTTCAAGAACTGTCTTCCATGCGCGCTCCTGACCGAAGAGTTCATAATGATCTTCATCCGCTTGATCCGCTTCCTCGTTTTCCTGGACCTCGGAAGGATCCTCTGAATCGGAGTCAACTTCATCGGAGTCAACTTCATCGGAGTCATCTTCATCGGAGTCATCTTCATCGGAGTCATCTTCATCGGAGTCATCTTCATCGGGTTTCTCTTGTTCTCCACCCGTTTGACTGGACATTTGATCATTGCTTGCTACGGCGTCTTCAAGTTCTTTGCCTTCATCTTCTTCGGCTCCCGTTCCCTCCCCATCCTCTCCACCTGAGAATTCAGAGTCACTGACGAGGTCTTCCTGACCCCCATCGCTGGCTTTCTGTGCTTCGGCCCGAGCAGTTTTTCCCCCATGTCGCGCGCTTCGGGCGATCTCCCTTGTTTCCGCTCCGTCTAGTGAGTCGACCCTCGTCCTAGATAGAGTAGATACAGAGGCCTGCTCAAGGCTTCTTCGCTGTTTCGCAGCTCTTCGAGCATCACGCTCAGGCTTCTTTGTCAGGTCAATATTTGCATTCAGGATGGCATCCTTGTGACCGTTGGCTGCTGCAGTAGAGCGTGTAGATTTGAAAGTCGGTGCTCGATTCGTATGCTTGTCGCTTGGTTTACTCCTGGAAGCTTTCGAGCCTGCTTTGGGTCCTGCTTTCCGCCGCAAACTCTCGATTGGGATCTTGTGAACTCCCGGAGTTTCGACTTCGGGACTCACGTATCCTTCTGGTCGTCCTTTGCGCCAAAGCTTTACCTTTATACCCTGCGTTGGTCTATGATGACTCTTTTTCGTCGTTTTCGGCTCTTTTATCGAAGACAGTCGCGCCCCAGGAGGCCGTCCCCGGGGGCGCGGAGTCGCCTCTGGACTCTGGGGGTTTCTTGTTGTTGTGGTAAGAGGTTGGGTTGACTTCTCGACTTGCTTCTTAGGACTAGGTGCAGGGTCCCACATATCACCACTCTTCTGCACCGCCGGATAGATTTGTACCATGTGCCGTTTCCTCTGCTCCTTCTTGGGTCTGGGCAACTTCCCAGGAGCCACCTGCTCGACTTCCGAAGATGCACGGTTGGATCTGCCTCCATGCCCAGTAATTTCATTGGTAGATGCTGTAGGAGGCTCGTCTCTAGTCCTATTGGATCCATTCCCCCTCGCAACTCGCTTCTTTGGAGATCCGTCCACCACATCTGCCTCCTGGCGCTTCCTCTTGCCTGGTACCGCAGGTTTTGGAGACGATTTCGAGACGTCGTTGAGGGCGAGATCATTAACGATGCTGACAGCATCCTCCGCAGATTGATCTGGCAGGTCGAGCATGATTTCCTTTGCAGTGGTCGGCGACACAATGAAGGGTTCGAGAATGGTCGGTTCATCCATGGGCGGCTCTACATCGTCTACCTCTTCTTGAACCTGGGGAACATCATTGCTAGCAAATTGCTTCGACCGGCCGAACAATCTTCCAAGTATACTCTTCTGGAATTCCATCAGCTGCGGCACTGAACGCGATCTGATTACGTTCAGGGGCTTACTGTTGACAAGTTTGGCAGGCCATTGCGTCACACGGTCGACAGCGCTTCGCGGAGGATCTTGGTGCTCGGACTCTCGTTTTAGCGTGTGCATAACCCTTTTCCATTACTTTGCGCACCCTTCGATCCAGAATGTTGAACTTCACAACTATGAGTCAAATGATATTCAGTCCTACGATTCAAGAATCGCAAGGACATCTAGTAAAAATCCTACGTACAAAATTCCTCATTCCGAGTTACTATTACAGTATAATTCAAGAGTTAAGAAAGAAGAAAAGTTGCCCACGAGCGACATGGTCCGCCACGCCCAAAATCCCAATGCATCCGTAATTCTTCAAGGTATTCCCTTATAGATTTTCTATATCTGAGAAGCGTTGAAATCGCAGCGACAAGGAGTTCAATTCAGATACAGAATCTCTATTATCCGTCTTATAATTATGAAGTCAGTATTTGGATCGAGGGGTGCACAGAGAATATTACTGGCAAGCATGAAAATAATTATGAATACGCTAATTTAGAGTTGCCATGTCTGCGGCCTCCCCTTCCTCCACACTAAACACTTGATCAACACTCAAGTATCTGCTGCAATTTGCATGTTTCTTGGTGTGTGAAGAGTGACAAAAAGTGAATACACTACCCCTGACATGGAAGAATCTGCCGCCAGAGTGTCGGACACCGACAGTGCCTCAAATGTACCTTCTCTATCACTCTTGAGCAAGACTCAACCACAGACTTTCATAGCACCTCTCAAGAAAATCAATGAAGGCCATGACGTTTCTGCATTTCTTGTATCAAAAGCCTATGGCGATATCATGACATTCCTACTCGAGCTCAATCGGGCAATGTTTCCCTCACACATTAAGGATGGTTCTACATCAGGTCAAAAACGAGTCCAAACATGGGACCTGGGTTGCCAAGCCGTAGAATTCTCAGAGACCGTGCAAAAGCTCAGACGCCTGCTTGAAGCTCTCGATCGTATCATAGATGAGGTACCGCCAGACCCTGGTCCACGTCGATTTGGCAATGCAAGTTTCAAGAAATGGTATCAGACCGTCGAGGAGCAAACCTCAGATCTTTTGAAATCCCATCTACCCGAGTCCACTCTGCAGCATCCACATGAGTCAGAAGTCAAAGCTGAAGCGGAGCTCTCGTCCTATTTTCTAGGCAGCTTTGGCTCATCGCAGCGCCTCGACTATGGTTCCGGCCACGAGCTCTCCTTTCTCGCATTCTTAGGCTGTATATGGAAACTCGGTGGCTTCAGCTCCCCCAATGAACATTCTACCTCGGGCAACGAAGAAAGGGCCATAGTCCTCGGCCTCATTGTCCCTTACCTCTCATTAATACGTCGCCTCATCCTAACCTACACCCTGGAACCCGCCGGCTCCCACGGTGTATGGGGCCTGGACGACCACTCCTTTATCCCCTACATCTTCGGCAGCGCCCAATACGGCCCCGCCATCTCCCCCAGCGACCAAACACCCATCGAAGGATCCCGCCCCGACGCCCCAGATCCCGCAGACGTAGCCAAAACCGCCGCCGTCAAGAGGCAAAGGCACCAGAACATGTACTTCGACGCCATCGGCTTCATCCACGATGTCAAAAAGGGACCGTTCTGGGAGCATTCCCCAATGCTCTACGACATCTCCGGCATCCGCACGGGCTGGGGCAAAATCAACAAAGGCATGATCAAAATGTACAATGCAGAAGTCCTGTCAAAGTTCCCCGTCGTGCAGCATTTCCCCTTCGGCTCCCTCTTCAGCTTCGACCAAGACCCGGACGCCGCGCCTCCGCCCCCTTCTGTCCACGCGGCCAATCAGCCCGTACGAGACGGATTCGGCTCATCAGCAGCCGACAAAGTGGCCGCCCCTCGCGCACCACCTCAACCAGGCACGCAGGCGCCAGCGGCAAGCCAAGCAACGAGCGTGCCGGGAACAGCAGCGCCGCAGACGAGCAAAGGCCCCT